TACTTGATTCAAAAGAGAACTATGATACAGTAGAGATAGAAGTAAAATTTTTAGATAAATTTATATCAGGTACTATTATAGATGATAGTAACAATGTCAATATCATGTCCACAATTTAGAAGTTGGGATTCTAAGTCATACTTCTTTTCATTTTCAATCTCAAGACTATAGAGCAATGAATTTGTAAGTTGTTGGATATGATTAAGAATTTAAGAATTAAAATTGGTAAAATTGATTATTTCTTCAATTTCAAAGTGATGAAGATAAAAAAAAATAAAAATAATTATCTACTTTTATTAGGCATGAGGTTTTTAAGGAAATGTAGGAGCATTATAAATTGATTATAAAAAAGACTATACTTCATTTATGGATCTCAAGAAAATAAAACACGAGTGTTGATTAAACCTAAATTTCTCATAAAAAGATGTTAAGAAAAGATAATAATAAAAAAAAACTTTGGATCTTTATTGGTAGAATCTTCCATAGACTTGGGACCTATTAAGTGCATTGGACTAAGCTTATATGATTGCAAGGATGATAGAACTTTTATACAAATAGTTAGCAAATCACTACGTTGGTTGAGAATGTAGAAGAAAAAGAAGCCTTCTAATTTGAAATAGATGGTGAAAAATTAGAAGAGTTGAAAACTCTAATGCAAGAAGAAGACATTCAACCTCCTTTGCACTTCGAAAAGACTTCAAATGCAATCTAAGAGAGGTTGAATTGGTCAAGCTCAAAGAAAGACATTAGAAGTTTTAAATAGCAAATAGAAGTTTTACATAAATTTAGAAGAATGGAAATCTAAAATATTGAGGCATCCAATGGCAAAAGAAGGTAACTTTTGACAAGAAGATTGAAATGAATGCATTGGAGCTTGGTATGTAGGTCATGCTTCTAGATGCAAAGAAAATAGAATTTTTGGAAAAATTTGATGCCTTATAGACTAGCCCTTATATTGTGATGGATGTTGCTACTAAAAATTCTATACAATTAAAGACCTTGGATGGCTTGTTATTTCCTACATGAACATCATGAGAACATTATAAAGAATATAAAGTATAACCATTGGAACAAATTTCTTCTATAGATCATATTTTATCAACATCAAAAAGTATATTAGAGAGCAAAATAGAAGCTATAAAGATCATCAATCAATCCTTAAGGACGGTTAATTGAGGATTTAATAGTAACTACAATGTTGAAATACTAGCTAAATGCTTCTCTTTATAATAATTGTATTATATTTCAAATTTTCTTCTTTTTTTCTTCTTCATATTTTTCAATGAGGATGCTAACATTATAAAATTAAGTGTGATAGTATGATTTATATGGTATTCATATATTTATTAAAAATACATAAAAATAAAATATAATATGAGTATTCTTCCATATGTTAGACCCAAGACATAGTATAGAGGGCATTGAGTGAGTAATTTTCATCTTTCACTCTCATTATTCAATCTTATATAACTTTTTTAATTTGTACTAGATGTTTTTTAATAGGTTAGGTCCAAATCACTAAAAAAAATGGCATTTCTTTTTATGTAGTAATCAACATCTTCTTGTTCTATTATTCTTCTTTTATTTTTTCTTTCTCTTATTCTCCAAATCTACTTCATTGGAGGTAGAAGAATTGCTTCCATATTTTATTTTGCTATAGATCTAACTTTTTTTTAGGAAAGATATGAATTATCTTTATTTCTAAACTTCTACCTTTCTTTTAATCCAGATCCACTTTGATAGAAGAAGAAGGCCAACTGAAGTAATTAATTATTTATAAGTCACAACTTGCTCGAAGAAGGGAAGAGATGGTTATTTTTATTCACTAATTCTTAATTTTTAATTAATTTTATATGATTCTCTAAACCAATATCAATTGAGAAAGAAGGATGGATTCAAATATTTCTAAATTATAATTTCAACAAATTCATATTAGAATACATAGGATTTGGTATTAAAATTCTATATTATGATCTTATTTTTTTTTATTTTTAGAGCCTTGTTCTTAAGAATTTATATTGACCACGTGTCCTTGGATAATAGACTAGTATTATTAGCAAGAGACTCAAGGGTCTATTCTATTTGCATGACAAATAGCTCACAAATGATGTGCCACATATGAGCTCTTAATCATGCTCTAAAGCTAAATTTTTGCTATTTTCTTATTTTATGATAATTGAGTATATTAGATTAGGATTTATATAAATAGAATTAAGTTTTATAGAATTTTTAAGATTGCAACCTTTGATGGTATAAATTTTACCTTAATTTCTTTAATTAGATTAATTAAGACTAAAAAAATAAGAGTTAGAAAATTAAAATAGCAACTTAATTAGTTTTAATAATTTAGATTTTACTAGTCACTACTATGAGGGTTGAATAGAAGCCTATGAGTTCATCTACAATCATTTCATATGATTTAGAGTGAGTTAGAATTATAATTTTTTAAAAGATCTAATAAAATTTAGTAATGATAATTTTGAGATTTCCTCTAAATTCAACAAATTTAAGTCGCATAGTAGTTCTTCTAATTAATGGAAGCTTTGTTAATGCAATGGTGGCACTAGATTCACCCAATGGAGTGAAGAATCAGCACCCTCTCCTTCAAAATACAAGTGGAACAATGAAATTCTCATTTTGAAGAATTTTACAAGAATTGCCAAGATCCTTATAGGTAAAAACTTTCATAAAAATTACAATTGAGCATGGATTGAGGCATGTAAATAGTTGATCTTAACATAAAAAGATGTATTCAACACAATGGTAAAGTTAGATTTATCGAAAAGTGATTTCTTTGACTACTTACAAGAGCCATTGGCTTAAATAATGAAATTAGCTCTTGGATGAATAAAGGTCATAGATCTACATTAAGGATCTTAGAGATCAAAGGTAGAGATGTGGCCGCCCTCCCACAAGCCACCACTCAATTCAATAAGAAAGGCTTGTTTCTCCAAGCCCTCTTTCTCTCTTCTTTTGGTAAAAGGCAAAGCCATATCAAATTTTGGTCCTAAACCCTAATCTTAATTTCATTTTTGATTTTTAAATCTTATTGTAAATTTTGTGGTTGTGTGTGTATGGATATTAAGTAGTAAATGATGATCATTGGATTTTAAAACATACGTCATTGTGATAGATAGCTTTCTCGGCCTTCCAAATACTATAAGGGTTTTAAGAGCCTTGGATTTCTCCAATCAGACATTCAATTTTTTGAGTTTCAATACAAATTTTATTTTAGTTATAGACATTTGAGTTAGCTTTCCAATTTGTGTATCTTTATTAATTTTTTTATAAATTTTTATTATTTAATACAAAAAAATATTTCACGATTTACAACAAATTCGATTTAAAACAATTATAGAATTGATAGCTCTTAAGGTTGATAGCTATTAATGTAAAAGCTTATAAAAAATGTTATTTAGATTTTTAATACAAGTGCATTAATGAATATTCTAAGAGACGAGCCATATATATATATATATATATATATATATATATACATGTATCTTTTCAACAATAAATTTTTTTAAGATGACTATGGATTATCGTTAATAATTAATTTTATAACGGTGTCAAGAAAACACTTGTTTAAAAATATTGAGCTCATTCATTTAGAAATTCTTATAATTTTAAATGTGATAAATACCTCATTCTTAAGGCTATCAAGTCCTATTCTTATTCTAATCAGTATTCCTAATTTTTTTATTGAATCATACTGAGTTCTAAACTCCAATTGTTTTTTGAATTTCAAAGCATAAATCCTTAATTTTATGAACTTTTAAATGTCAATACTATATCAAATCTTGATTTCTGAACTTTAAAATTTTTAAGGTAATCCTTTCATATCTTAATAAACTCTAAGAAAATCCTAAGAATATTAAAAATTCTAATCAATATATTGTGATAGTCATCAATTCCTAAGAGGACATTTGGTTAAGCTTTAAATTTTGCAAAATATTAGCTTTTAAAAATTTAACTTTTTCAGTTATGAGACGTGTTTTAAAAATCTTCACAATTTATTTTTTTCTTCTTTCTAGACTAAAACTAGAGTATTTAAAGCAAATGATTACTAATCTTAAAATCATCTAGATGTTTCAAAAAACAATCTCATTCAAGAGAAGAAAAGAATATTATAAAAAAATAGTTCTTGCTTACATCTTAGAAAATATCTTTTAAGATGTATAAATTTGTTTTTAGATATCTTAGAAAATTTAAATAGATTTATTTATTTAATTATTTTAAGTCCTTCTAATTTCTCTAATATATAATAATTTTTTTGTTACATATGTTTATATAAGATTATTACTTAAAAAAAATTCTTATTAGTAAAATCATTGTTTAACATTTAATATTATATTTAAGATATTAAAATGGATATTTTGTTTTACAAATTTTAAATTAATATGTAATATTTCAAAAATTAAATGTTTCCAATACATAATTCTAATTTTGAAGATTACAATTAAAATATATCATATATCTAAGATTATTATAATGGTTTTTTAGTACTATGTTTAAGAACTGAAATGTTTCTATAAATACCTTATATTTAAGTAGTACAAAATAAATAATTTAATATAAAAGATCTTATACAAAATATAATAACATGTTTAAATAAAATTATAGTTAAATAAACATGTCAAAATTTTATTTTGGGGATTTCATAAATTGGTACTTTTTTTCAATATAGAATATAATAAGATTATAAAATATTTTAGTATTTCTTCAATTATATTATTAATAAATAAATAAATAAATAAATACTTGTTCACAATTCTTATCACTTATATGAACTATCTAAAAACATTTCTAATAATGTTACTCATTTAAAGTTAATACACTTTCATAAAACATTCTTTTTAAAGACTTGGTGCTTAAGTATTTAGAAATCCTCAAACCAATTACTTTATTTAAGATAGCAACAAATTCACTCTCTAATAATCACTTCTTTCTACCTATATAAATAAATAAATAAATAAATAACTAGTGGTGAAAATTAGGGAGAGATTTTTTTTAAAAAAAAATAAAACTAATGCAATAGCTCTTTTTGGCAAATAATTCAAAAATGTGTTTTTCACAAACATTCCAAAATCATTTCCTCTTTATGAAAATTTAAAAATCTCTCTGCAATACACAGCATGTCTCATGCATACAGATATACATACACACATACTTAAGTAAATTCAAAACCATAACCCAACCACAATCATATTTCTAATTAGATATCGCAAGTCTATAGCTGTGCAAAATTCACGTCATTCCAGCTTTGAAGAAGCAAAATCTGCACCTCAGTTTGGTAATTCGATGTCGAAGGTAACAGCCCAGATCACAAGCTCAACCACAGTCGAGCAAAGCCCCCGCGGCGATGGACTTGTAACCACAGCACGTTGCTTCACGCGTAATGGGCACCAATTCATTACGAAATCCTTAACACCGATTTCGAAGTTTCAACTGCAAGAGATGAAAATTCTTGCAGGCACTTTCTGTAGCTGTGATATGAACACAAGCCTGTGGAAACGTCCCTTCGCAGCTCACCGAACCTCTCGAATCTAAACCACTTTAGTACACACCCCGAAGAATCTGATGAAGGAGAATATGACGAAGAAGAAGAAGTAGAAGCCCATATCGTCGATCCATTCTTGTCGGTATGAATCCCTGCACTCAGTTGTCGTGTTTTATTCATCGAGCATACTTCAGAGTGTTGACGAATCCGAGTGCTCCCAAACTCTCGCGTGAGCAACGAAAGCTGCTGCGTCTGGACTGCTATGAGAAGTTCGCGGATGTGCACAGTGTGCTTGCAGGGCTAGTGGGCGTTCCGAGGCATCGCATCTCTTCTACAGTGATAGGGCTGAGTCTCCGAGCGCTGAGTGTTGGTCGACAGCATGACAAGGTTCATGCAGTGTGTGAATGCCGAATCCGATCAGTGCCTCGGGGATCTAGATCCAAGTTGCGAATCACTGCGGAGACTCATGCTTGTGTCAGGTTGCTCACAACAAGGGCTGTGTCGGTAAGACGTTCCGACGTGGAAGCATATCAGTAAGAATACTACATGAATGGACACGAATGAAATGATCACAGGGAGGTTCTTTGTGACGATGCGCAGGCACCGACACAGTCGACCCGAGAAAACTCACCAGAGTATCTGATGCAACCAGAGGTGCGCAAGATGCTCAACGGCGACGGCTGCAACCCCAAACCGGTGCGCACCTGGCGTAAATGCCCCCTAATCCAAGCATCTCGCAGATCCGAGTTCAGACCCCTACCCGACGGTGCGGTCCCGGAGATCCGCCCCATGCCGAAGAACGTAAGGGAGTCGCTCAACGGCTGCATGACCTTCCAGTCGCAGCAGATCGCAAGGTACAACGAGTTGCTGCGGCGCGATGGGAAGTTGGTGAGCGGGGTGGACAAGGTGGCGGCGGGGGAGCAAACCAAGTCCGGGCGATTGTACCACAAGTTCGACAGCCTGTGCGCGCTGGCGACGTCTAAGTCAGCAAGGTTGCTGCTCGTGCAGCACAAGGAGCTCCACCACATCTTTTACGCGATCCGGTATGACCCTGTTCACGCACTGTACAACGAGCTGCTGAATATATACGAGCAGCGCTGGAATGTATGCTCCAGCACGTATGGCAAGCTCGACGGAAACAGAGAATCAAGACAAACCCATAGAAGTTTTGATAAATCAGTGTTCACGAATCCGGATCCATCTCAATAACATTGTTTGCGATACAGAGAAATATAGAGTGCACGAAATATCCACAGTGTTCGCCCATTGAATTAACCATTATCATCTGCGAGGGAAAGACAATTACAATGTTAAAAAAGAAAAAAAAAAAAAAAAAAAAAACATGCCAAGAGCTACAGGTGCTTTAGGCGATAGGACATACTTGAAATGGAGGGTAAGACAATCAAGCGACAGAAATATGTGGAAATCCTGCTGGTCAAAGACATTCATACTGAAATTCCCCGGCCGACATTCTGACTTA